TCGCTATATGACCTCCCAAAGTTCCAGTGTGCCAAGCCCTGAGGGAAGAAACCAAGTCGACGAGAGAAAAGAGCAGTCGGTGGATCACCGAGTAGTTTCGCGATGCAGTGCTAGATCATCCAAAGTTACAGACCTTGAGAATGCTGAATGCCAAGGCAGAAGGGCGATGGAAGTGCCAAAGGGTGGCTCATCGAGTGGTTCAGTGATCCCGAATTACCTCGCCAAATGACTTTTCGCAGCACATCTTTGGCGACTATAAATATATTTTGGAACAATTAGTTTAGTATCTTTTATCAATTACTTTTTAGAATAATTTTTTATTAAGTTTTTAGCATCTGGAGATAGTTTTCTCTAGTTTCCTTAGCTTTGAAAGATTGAAGAAATTCACTTTTGAGAAATTGGAAGTGGGTCTTTGAGAATCTTCAAATTGGAGCATTGTAAGGACGAAATCACTCTTACCCAGTTGATGGATAATCAATTTCGTAATGGTTTTTACCTTTTTATCATGTCTAGCTAAAACTCCAATTCTTAGGGTGTGATTATTTGATTATGGGCTGATTTAGCTTATGGGTATTGCTAATTGTTAGTTTAAATGTTATTTAAAATTGAGTTCAATCATTAATTTTGGTTTAATTTAAGAATTGTAGTTGCAAATGCAGTTCTATGTTTGTATTCTTGGCTTGCTCGAGAGAGAGAGAGGTTTTAGAACTAAAATTATTGATTGATAGTTTGTGGATATTGGGTTGACTTGGGTTCAGCTCGAGAGAGTGAATCCTAAACCCTATCCCACACATTAAGCTTGAGAGAGTGAATGAATTAAGGTGTGGGATGGTCTTATTTTGCATGCTTGTTGATGTTCGAGAGAAATCACTTGATCGGGGTAAATTGTTCGAGAGAAAATTTACCTCCACTATATCCTAGCCTACTCACTAATAACTAGTTATTTTCTAATAGTTGCAATTACCCCTATGTTTATATTAGCCTGTAATCGATCACATCCCAAGAATTCGTCTCATTATTGTTAATTCGTATTGTTTGTGACTGTTGTTTGTAGTTGGTAATCAAAACCAAAACCCCCCATTTGACATTAGTGTCGCCCCTTAAGTTGGATGATGTTTTTATTCGATAATTTCTATTCCTATGACTGATTTAAACACATTCATATTTCCCAATAGAATTTGAAACACGTACCACTCCCTCTGGAATTCGACCCCAACTCATTTAGTTCGGTTTTACACTGATTTAACAACCGTTGACGCTTAGAATTGGATGAAGTGTCTTCGAAACGTTATTGATCACTATTCTAATTGTAAGTTCATGAGTTCTTTCTTCTTAAAGAATTTTTTTTTGTGAAGTTGAATTGTGTTCTTGTTAGCCATAGTTGAATCTACTTATTTTTAGTTTTGGTTTTTGTGTTGCTATTGAAAATAGAGGAAATTAGTGTCAACGGAAGCAATGGTAGCCAAGCGGGCCACCAAGATGACATCGGAAATCTCAATGACCAAAATCTAGTAGATGGAGTTGGTGTCATTCGCTTGCCTCTAGCTGAAGGGAACGTTGTGTTCCACATTACAAGCACCATGTTGCAGCTCTTGCAATTGAAAGGGTTGTTTGGTGGATTGGCTCATGAGGATCCCCATGAGCATATACAGAACTTTGTTGCTGTTTGTAGGCCGTTCTCCTTTAAAAACATATCCCAAGAGTCGGTTCGACTGAGGTTGTTCCCAATTTCTTTAATGGGAGAAGCGTGTAAGTGGTTGGCTGGTTGCCAAGAAATTCTATCACTTCGTAGAAAGAGCTTGTCACCACATTCCAAGTGCGATTTTTCCCTCTTTCGAAAATGATGACACTTAGGAATAGTATCCAAAGCTTCAAGCATTTGGAGGGTGAGCCAATCCATGAAACTTGGCTAATATTTAAGAAGTTGGTGTTGCAATGCCCAACTCATGGATTGCTCGATAATGTCTTGCTGCAGTACTTTTACAAAAGCCTTGATTCGGTGAACACGGGAGTGGCTGATCAACTTTCTCCGAGAGGTTTAATGCAACAGCCTTATGTGATAACAGCCCAACTCCTTTATGGAATGACCAAGATAAACCGGGCATGGTACACCCGTGAAGATCAGGTTTCCCCTCTCACATTTAAATTGACAAAAGACCAGCTTGAGAAAGATCAAGAGAAGGACCAAAACATGGCAAAGATGATGACCCAACTTGACATTTTAGCCAAAAATGTCATGGGTGTTGGTGCTAGGAATGTAAATGATGTGAGAGTTGGGTGTGTAAACCCCGATGAGACCAAGTTTAAAGTGTTGTACAATGAGGAAGTGAACTTCCTAGCCAACCAA